AAGGTTCTTTCTGGAACCATTTAGACAAAAAGGTTCTTCTATGGCATCGTGAAGCACCTTTATTTTTAAGAGTGTAGACAACTTTTAAGATGGTATGTTGCTTGTCCAACATGGTTTACCAGCTTTAAAGCAGCTACCATGTACTAAAACACACCTACCAGCTAAGGACGGCTTCAGGATCTTTCTAATTCCACACCAACACATCAGCATCACCAAAGCATCGTCGTGATTAGGATGTAATTGCAAAACTGTAATACCTTAAGAAGTCCAGCCAGCCATCCTTTACGATGGATGGATCCAACTGCAACGAGAGGAAGTTGTCATTCAAAACTTTCACCGGGCTTCGAGTATTCACGTCCAGTAAAATCAAGGTTCTCTCCAGAAAGCTCTGTCTCTTCCCTCCGGACACGGGTCTCCTGTAGGTAGCGGCGGAGGAAATGAGAGACTGGAGTATCAGTGCCAACCACAGTGACGAGCCGAACACTGGGCAGAGGAACTGCCTGGGCATCTTCTGTCCTCAAGCACCGGGCGGAGCGCAGTGAGGGAGATCCAGCAGAGATCTCCTTATAAAACCCGATCAAAAAGCACCTGAAGTGTTTTTATGCCCCTCCTTGAGCGAGGATCACTGGTGTCTCTTTCAGCCCCCTTATCTTCAGCTGTTTTGGAGTTAGCTGGAGTAAACTCACGCCCCAGGGCCAGCCTCCATCACACTGCTGCCTCTGCACCGCCCTCTGTAGTAACGCAACAAGCTCTTAAAGGTAAGATGACTCTTATTTAACAGAAGCTTCTTCAGCTGGGGGGTATCTGAAGCATAATTGCTCTGTCTGCACACAAAGTAAAAATGAAATAATAATAATAAGACGAAAATAAAATAAATAGACGCAAACAAAAACGTTATGGTTCTTCAGACGTTCTTTGGTTCAGCAAAGAATCCTTTTTTTATGATCTGAAACCATTTATGGCTGTATATGGTTCTTTGGAGTTAAAAAGTTATTTTTATGTAACATTTATAGGTTCTTCACAATATCTGGTGTTTTTTTGGGTTTTTTTACATCAGCATATGATGTTTTCTAAATTTTAAAAAGATTTTCCATGCAGTGGAGTTAAAGCTGTAAAGTCATTTCTGGTTATAACTGGAAAGTTTTTTTTTAAAGGCCTGTTATTTCTATATTTCATTTTTTTTTTTAGTTACATCAAGACTGAATTACTAAAACAGTACGTAATTTTGCTTTAGTTGTCCAAAAAGAAGAGTGACGGTCCATATGATTTCTCGTGGACTAATCAACTGTTCACCTTATCTTAAAACTCAGTCCTGTTGTCGTTATCCTCGAACAATTGACTTTTTTTGTGCATAAATGACTACAAATAGTTAAACGTTTAACACGTTTACGTAAAGAGAATTCAAAGTTGAGCTTTCTGTTTTTACAGATGAACATTGTGCAGATTTGCAACTGAAGGGTTATAAAAAACATCTAACATAACCTGTTTTGTGTTTTTTCGTCTCCGGCGACCTATTTACAACTTGATTATAGCCTATTGATATGTTGATATGTATTGATTATACGTGTACATATGAGGTTTTCTTCAAAAGGACTATGGAATTTTTTTAAGACAATTTACACAGATAAAAGCTTATAAAACCCCGTGGGGGAAATAAAGAAATGCACAATGTTGTAGAATAAAATACAATGCGTAACTAATATATTGCAACAACCGTCTACATATTTATAGGGGGGAAATATATTATTTTCCCCGAGTAAGAAAAACAAACACCTGACAAAATATCAATAACCTACTGACATAATAGCCTCTCTTTTTTATGAAAATGTGTTTATTGTAATTATCCACATCGGGACCGGTGGTCTCGTAGGAAGCAAACAATTTAGCATACAGAGATCACGAAACTATACTCTAAAAGAAACGTAAAAATCATCTCGTAACTCACCTCGTGTTCACCTAACGGGTCTTTGTGTCTGAGAACATTTCTTGCTTTATCTTTTTAAAATATTCGTTTACAAAGCCCCCAGCGCGAGCTAGTTTTCCATCATTTCGATAAAATAATTGCAGGCTATATAAACCATTGATACATATTTAAAATATATATAATTGCGGAGCAACACAGATCGGACGCTGTTCTTTGTCCTTTCATTGCTTTATGCACTGCATAGTTTTGCTGTGAAATGTGAATATAAAGTGCTGAACATATGGTTTAGCCTATAAAAATTCGGTTTTATGAGTAGGGTGCATCTTTTGGCGTGACACACCAGTGATCATCTCAATGGGTTACTGGCATAAATCATGATCTTAATAAACCTGAGACGTGCACAGTTCAGTGTATAGACAATAAAATAATGCTCTGTCACCTGACTCACGACACTGATGTCTAATAACGGGAACCATGTGATTTGTCCTTCTGTGACTGACACTTTGGCCTAACATCCTGCGACAGTCCACCTACTTTCTGCAGAATAAAGTAGAATAAAACAAAACAGATAGAAAATACGACTCTGTGCTGTTTTTTACAGTATGTTTCTTGGCAGTAAAGCAGACAGGGCGCCTCTCTTTAACCTCAGATTTATGACAAGGTTTATCAAGTTTTATACGAGAAATCTTTTGAAGTTCATTTTTAGCTTTCTAAACTGGAACTCACCGTTTCAGATATTATTGGGAGAAAATATAATAGGAAGTAAATATATAGGGTTAACATTCAGTACAGTCTTGTAGTTTATTGTGAAGCAAAACAATATAGGCTATAGCTATTCCAGATTGTGCATCTTTTCTCCCATTGTGATAAAGAGTGCGAGGTTAAAACTTTTATAAAAATCCTTAAGCTGTAAAAACAACATGGATACAGTTCTAAACATTCTAAATAATACATTTAAGTAGTTTAATTCTTTCATCCGAATAAATTTGGCGTTTATTTTAGAATGCATTAAGTAAAATAAAAACCTTTCAGCTTCACTTAAAAAAAGCAAAAAAAAAAACATTTAATTTCTTAATAAAAAATGTCTGGTTATGACATAATACTTACGCGCGTTATCAATTATTAAAATGATGACAATAAGATTATGCTGATAAGATGGGAAGAGAGAGATTTAAAACTAAAGCTCAAAATGTTTTACGTTGTTCTGCGTTATATTCAAATTAAAAACACTATACAATTATGTTTGTATAGGACAGTATATTTCGGTCGGGTAATTTGTCAGAGTTCACAGGCTAATTGAAAAAATACAGGTCAACAAATAACATCTTCAGATATTAATACAATAACAGGAAAATGTCTACTCGCCTGGTTTAAAGTTCATGTGCACTAAATGAAATAAAATATTTATTTGTAGCAGAAATGAAACAGGATTCTATGAAAGTAAAGCAATTTCTGCATTGGACTAAACAACTAAATAATATGCACGAATGATTGCATACATTTTAATTTTCTTTAGTCTTTTGATATCAGTTTTGTATATTATTTGTGCTGTGATTTTCCCCTTTCCTCTCACACAACAATAGAAATACTGTAGAGTCTTTTAGAGTCTTTTAGTGAAACCATCCGAGCACGGCACTCCCACTGTTTCAGACAGGCTCCTAAAGGACGTGCAACATTTCATCCAAGTGGACCATCAATAATTTATTAAGTAAGTTTCCTGAGCCTGCTAACTGTACTGTGAGCCCTCCCTGCAGACCGCCGACAAGGTCAAGGCTTTACATACGGGTCCCTCTCAATATCGACGAGGCGTGAGCAATAAGAGGGAGAAGAGAAAAAAAACCTCCACATATTTGTCTCTGATTTACGAGGTGGAAGCGAGTGATGCTGAGCAGACGAAAGTGGTTAGCACACACAGTCAAACATCTCCAAATTCTTCTTTTTCTCTTAATTTGATTTTACCCATAAACTCTTCAGAACGGTGTTGTCTATCATCTGTGCCATTGGCTGTCTGCTTGAGGCCCGGCTCCAAACACCCAGGGGATAAAAGTAAGTGTTTATGAGACCACAACTTATTGTTTCACCCTGCTGCTGGCGAAGGGAGTTTTTTTGACATTTCGAAATGATTTGACAAAAATCCCACAGAACGAATTTCTTGCTTTTGGAAACGAAAACGGCTGGAAATGCAAAGAGGTGAAGTTTGTATTACACAATATGATTTAGTGTCTTATAGATGTTTAATATCTAAACACTGATATACACTGATGTCTTCCTATACGTTAGGGTGTGTGTGTCTTTGAATAGCCTATGTGTTGAACCACCGAACAAGCGTTCTATTAAAAAATAAAAAATGAAATAAAATAAAAACTACCAGGAGACATGTCTTCTACATATATGTCGTTCTCATGCCACTATTTATGTTATATTATTTAAGGTGTTTTGCAAAATTAAAATTTTATTTCATTAGTCAAATAGAACAACTGTCTGTAAGTTTCCATCATTCAGTGGAATTCAGTTATCGAAGTCAAGGCAAATTGTTATATAGTGCCACCTTGTGGCGAAGATTCATTATGACTCGTTAACTTTTATTGCACATGAAAGTTGAGTTTGAATAGAACATCTATTACCTTTTTGGACGGTAAGTAACTTAAGTATTCGTTACTTTACGTTACCTGTATTTTCACAAGGACAAATATTGCATGACATTCACTAAGAATATACAGATGATGATGACAATGATAATAACTAATAATAATAATAATAATAATATATTTAACTTTTATTAAATGCAAACTTAGTGATTCAATAAAATTCAGATATCTGATATCTTGGACCTTGTGTTGCTGGTTTATAATAAAAAAATACGAGTAGCGCTTTCAAGCTCCACAGACCCAGAGACTCCCCAATCATCAGAGTCTGTCAATATAAAAAAAAGAGTAGACTACTTTAATAAGTAGCTAATACTTGAAAGTAATACTTTGTTAACTTTTATTACTAAACAATATTAAACCTTAATTATTAAATGTAATATTACATTTTTAAAATGCCCTTTTTAAAAAGTTCTCTATGTTTGTATATCTGTCCACCGACTTCTTGGGTTTACAGTGGTAAAATAAACAGAAATCGTCTCACATCATCTCTGGTTGGGTGTTTTGGCCCGTTCATCTGCTGGACTGTAGCCTACATAACTCCTGTTTGCTCCTTACAGTATCGCAGCCCTGCAAAACGTCATGACGTCACTGCGGTGTCATTTTTATTTATACGAGACTCCAGCTGTTACATTGACTCGGCAAACAGAGGCGATGTGTTTGTCCGTGGGTGTGTGTCATCGCCACGTGATCCAGCTCGCCAATGTCCTTCTACAACCCACTCAGCATCATGGCTGCGGATGCTGCGGATGCTCTCCTCCCGCACCGCATCCCTGGACCATGCCTCCTGCCCCTGCTCCTCCTGATCGCCTCCGCTCTCCCCACACCGAGCCACGGGCTGCTGGGCTTCCGACCGGAGGACACGGGAGGAGATCTGTCCGTGCAGGACGGGGTGTTGAAGGCCACCGAAGGGACGCGGTTCATGTTACGCGTGTACTATGCAGCATCCCCGCAGAGGTTCAACCGGACCGTCAGCAGCGCTGGCGGCACAGCCGCGCCGTGGATCGCTTTCATAGAAGAACCGGAGCCAGGCAGAGAGGGGCAGGTGCATCCCAAACACAACTTGTGCGTGGAGGAGAGCGCCAGGAGCTCGGATATAGAGCTCCTCGGATCTTTCAAGTCTGCCTCCAGCCAGAACTCCATCCTGGTGGAGCTGCTCGCCAAAGACCTGCGGAGAGGAGAGAACATCAAGTTTTACTCCATGTGCGCCTTTGACGGGATCAAATGGGAGCACTACCGGACGCGCGACTTCTGGCTGGCGGTGGTGGAGCGGCAGCCGCATGCGGACGGGTGGCTACAAGCGGGTCTTTCTGTGCTGCTTCTGGCGCTTTCCGCGCTCTTCAGCGGGCTGGTGATCAGCATGCTCGCGCTGGACCCCGTGGAGCTCAAAGTGCTGCAGAACAGCGGCACGCACAAGGAGCAAAAGTACGCGCACAAGATTGAGTCGGTGCGCAAACACGGCAACTACGTCCTGTGCACCTTGGTGCTGTGCAACGTGCTCACCAACACTTTCCTGGTGGTCTGGATGTGCCAGATCCTCGGAGTGACGCCCGTCTCTACTGCGGCGTGCACTTTTCTCATCTTCTTCATCGGAGAGATCCTGCCGCACTCCGTTGCGTCCAGGCACGGGCTGGCTATCGCGTCCAAGACCGTGTGGCTGACCAAGATGCTGATGCTGCTGACTTTCCCCATCTCATATCCCATCAGCAAACTCCTAGACAATATGCTACACCAGGAAATCAGCAACTTCTACACTCGTGAAAAGTTACTGGCTATGCTGAGAGTTTCCGACCCGTATCATGACCTGGTGAAAGAAGAGTTGAACATCATCCAGGGAGCTCTGGAACTCAGGAGCAAAACGGTGGAAGATGTGCTGACCCCTCTCAATGACTGCTTCATGCTGGCCTCGGATGCCATCCTTGACTTCTGCACCATGTCAGACGTGATGCAGAGCGGATACACTCGCATTCCTGTGTTTGAGAACGAACGGTCTAATATTGTTGATATACTGTTCGTCAAAGATCTGGCCTTTGTTGATCCAGATGACAGCACCCCGTTAAAAACCATCACTCAGTTCTACAAGCACCCGCTGCACTGTGTCTTTACCGACACCAAACTGGATGCAATGTTGGAGCAATTCAAGAAAGGTAAGATGTTTGTATATCCTATAGGACTCCAGTTGTGTAAAGTTACAACAGGAAAAAACGTTTAAAATCAGTCTGAAAAAGGGTAATTCACACAAAAATCTTTTCTCACCCTCATTTCGTTCCAAACCTGTATGCATTTCTTTCTTCTGTGTAACAAAATATACTTAAAATATCATGTTAATAAAACATCAGACGTAATTAAATTAAATTTGTATGCATGGAAAAAAAAACACTATAGCGACTTTCCAAAATATCTTATTTTGCATTCCACACAGAATTAAGATGTGCATACAATTAAGAATGCAAAAACATGAAGATGATATATGATGACAGTTTTAATTTTTGGGTGTACTGTTCAGTAACTTCAGTGTATTGGAGAACATATTGTACTTTGAAATTATGGAATTGTAAATGAAAATCTGCTGGTTAAATCTTGTCTATAACATATAAATAATACATATACAGTGGAGCAAAAAAGTATTTAGTCAGCCACCAATTGTGCAAGTTCTCCCACTTAAAAAGATGAGAGAGGCCTGTAATTTTCATCATAGGTATACCTCAACTATGAGAGACAAAATGAGAAAAAAAATTCCAGAAAATCACATTGTAGGATTTTTAAAGAATTAATTGGTAAATTCCTCGGTAAAATAAGTATTTGATCACCTACAAACAAGCAAGATTTCTGGCTCTCACAGACCTGTAACTTCTTCTTTAAGAGGCTCCTCTGTCCTCCACTCGTTACCTGTATTAATGGCATCTGTTTGAACTTGTTATCAGTATAAAAGACACCTGTCCACAACCTCAAACAGTCACACTCCAAACTCCACCATGGCCAAGACCAAAGAGCTGTCAAAGGACACCAGAAACAAAATTGTAGACCTGCACCAGGCTGGGAAGACTGAATCTGCAATAAGTAAGCAGCTTGGTGTGAAGAAATCAAATGTGGGAGCAATTATTAGAAAATGGAAGACATACAAGACCACTGATAATCTCCCTCGATCTGGGGCTCCACGCAAGATCTCACCCCGTGGGTATATATATATATAATTTTATTTATTTATTTTTGACATCATACATTGCACATTTAGCATCAGCACAACTTCAGCTGACATCTGCAGAGAGGCTGGCAGCTGGACTCCAATAATTTGAATCTGTTCCCATGGCAACCATTTTCATTCCGTCATCATTGCTTACTGTTCACCAGAGAGTTCCTATTAGTCATATTTTGACACGCCTTTAACTGAAAATCCATAAATTACTCATGCCAAGCACTGACCTGTGTGGAATGCAGGGATGCATATCATTTCCTCTTGATCCTGCCCTGCACAAAGTCTATAGACCAGGGGTGCCCAAACTCGGTCATGGAGGGCTGGTGTCCTGCAGAGTTTAGCTCCAACCCCAATTAAACACACCTGAACCAGCTAATCAAGCTATTATAAATTTAGAAACAAGAAATCACACAGCATTTGACTGATCATGATTTGGTTGGCAGTCTCCATTACTTCTCTCTGTTGTTTCCTCTTCTATCTCTGCTAGCCTGTCCTATAAAGACAAAAGGTTTGTCTGAAAATAGTTTGCTTTGCTAAAAAATTGGCCAAACTTCTAGAAATTTAAACCACACCAGGAAATGAAAGGAAAGAATTTAGTTTCTATACAGTTCATAAATTATCAGCTAAAAATTATGTGAGATTTTGAACTGTTGGTGGCGCTAGAGAGTTATAGGGAGTTGTCATAGACTCTACCAAAGGGGGGGAAAAATAGGTGCCTACACACCTTTAGTGCTTGGCCCCTAAAGTGTATGGCCCCTCAAAGTTCAGGATCAATAGCTACATAATTCCTATTCCTCAAACTGTATTCTGCGATAAATTTAGAAACAAGAAATCACACAGCATTTGACTGATCATGATTTGGTTGGCAGTCTCCATTACTTCTCTCTGTTGTTTCCTCTTCTATCTCTGCTAGCCTGTCCTATAAAGACAAAAGGCAGCTAAAATACATTTTACAAGAACATTAATGGCATGCCCATAGATGTTTGCTAATGATTCCACTGGGGTTTATGCAGAAAATGGTGCTAAAAACAAACAATCCAAAGGCTTAGGGTTTGTCTGAAAATAGTTTGCTTTGCTAAAAAATTGGCCAAACTTCTAGAAATTTAAACCACACCAGGAAATGAAAGGAAAGAATTTAGTTTCTATTCAGTTCATAAATTATCAGCTAAAAATTATGTGAGTTTTTGAACTGTTGGTGGCGCTAGAGAGTTATAGGGCGTTGTCATAGACTCTACCAAAGGGGGGAAAAATAGGTGCCTACACACCTTTAGTGCTTGGCCCCTAAAGTGTATGGCCCCTCAAAGTTCAGGATCAATAGCTACATAATTCCTATTCCTCAAACTGTATTCTGCATGAATAATCAGACCTTGAAGTTGTACCAAACCTGTAGGAGTTTCTTTCTTCTGTGGAACATAACAATTATATTTTGAAAAATGTTGGTAATTAAGTAGTTGATGGTCCCCATTGACTTCCATAGTATGGAAAACAAATACTATGGAAGTTAATGGGCACCATAAACTGAAATTCTTCAAAATATATTTTTTCGTGTTCAGTTGAAGAAAGAAAGTAGGCTAATGCAGGTTTGGAACAACATGAGGGTGAGTAAATGATGGCAGAACTTTCATTTTTGGGTGAACTATCTCTTTAAGCTCAAATGCAGGTCAAATGCAACACGAATGCTGCACAAGCATCAAAAATAAAAAGGCCTAAAACATGATTTTAAAAAAGCAGTTAACACAGAAAATCATGCATTTATTTGCATATGCATTTTTAGGACAAACTGTGCTATTGGATCCTATTTAGAAATCATTCAGGCATTTCCTTCTGTTTTTCTTTCCGTTTTCAGCTACACACTGCTTTATTTAGCATTTCCCACCATACTGCTCTGCCATGCATCACATGAGTGGAGTATAGTGCCAGCTTTAACGAGTTCATTTGCTGGCACAGCAGCTGAAGGAATCGCAGGGACATCCGCGTGGGCTCAGACCCCCTGGCTCCGAGTGCATGCGTGCGCGTGTTATATAATAGCGTAGTGATGTAATGCGGTTCCCTGAACATCAGCTTTGAGGTGTATCGAGCAGAGTGCTGCATTGCCCTTGCTCTCCACCTGACTCCTGCAGAATTCTTCACTTCACTCAGCGTGTGCCACTACCATAGAGACCACAGCATGAGAGAGGCTTCTGTCTGTTAAATTCTCCCTATCCAAAGGTTGAGGATTATGTATTTAATCTTCTCTGCCTGAAATGATATTCCAAATCTGGCTGACTGATGATTAACAGAAATGCTAGCTGGGATGTTTCGTTTGTTCCATTGCAAAGAGCTTCTGTTTGGGAATTCAGTGAACAATCTTGTATAAGCAACACTTATTGTGCTTCATAAGGTTTTTAAAAGGGTCATATATTTGTTTTTATTTTTACAATAATTTAGCTTTTTATTACATTTTTTGCTGCTGTTCCTTTAAGATTCCAAAAGTGCCCTCTTTGCATGTGAAGTGAGATATAGGTTTGCTGCAGCAACAAACTGCTGGTTTGCAGTTGGTGCCAATATATATTTAGCCTCATATTTCAATAACAGACTGTTGGCAAATCTGCATTACATTATGAGAGATTTATAAAACAATCTGTTGAAATGACCAGACTTCAACTGTTAGTTTCTAATGACGCCTCATAAGGCTCTGGTAAATATTAAATAGCCATTGTTAATATGTAAATGCATCTGACATTACAACATTGTGGATGTGCAGAACAAGTGTGTGTGTATGTGTGTGTGTGTGTGTGTAGCCTATATATGTACACATGCACACATGCATGCTTATGTAACAATGTTTTTGAAAGTCTGTTATGATCACAAAGGCTGCATTTATTTAATAAACAATACAGTAAAAACTTTAATATTGTGAAATGTTATTACACAAACTGTTTTCTATTTTAATAGACTTTAAAATAGAATTAATTTGTGATGCAAAGATTAATTTTCAGTATTATTACTCTAGTTTTCAGTGTCATGTGATCCTTCAGAAATCATTCTAATAATATTAGTATTATATAATATTAACATTTCTTATTATCAGTGATGAAAACAGCTGTACTTAACATTTTTGTAGGAACCATAATCATTTTTTCTTTTCAGAATGCCTTGATTTTATAAAAAGTTCAAAAGAACAGCATTTTATATAAATAAAAATCTGCTGTACATTACAAATGTTTTACTGTCACTTTTGATCAGTTTAATGCATCCTTTAAAAAAAAAAACTAAAATGACCCTAAACTCTTGAACGGTAGTGTATATACAAATATATGAATACAGACAATTTCACATTTTGGCATCATAATTATTTAATATTAAGGGAGACGTGAACTAATGTCAGAATAGCCATTAATGCCTGAGCAGCTTTTTAAAGACTCAAAAATAGCAAATTCCAACAGTTTCCAGGTTTTTAGAATGCTCAGCTTCATCATCAGAGCCACAGGGCTCCCAAACCCCATTGCATAACCCCTCAGCGCTCTTTACATAAGGTCAGGTCTGAATCTTCAGAACTGTCATAGTTAATCTCTTCACGAGCCTTCATTTCAAGCACTCTTTATGTCATGTGACAAATCAGTTTAACAGTGCAAAAGACTCTCTGCAACATAATTCACATACACAAGTATCCAAAGGGTAAAATAAATGGACAGGGCTTCATTTACTAAAGTTGTGCGACTATTGATTTTGCACACTTTGCCTAATAACTTCATTGATTCATGGATTGATTTAATAGCACTGCAGTTTTGTTAAATTGGCTTTAATATACTTTGCATAAATGAGGGTGCAGATTCAAATTAAATGGCAATTGCGTATCATGCTATGATGCTCCTATGTCTTTCTCTGACACTGTAAAGGGAAATCTCATTTGGCCATCGTACAGAGGGTCAATAACGAAGGAGAAGGAGATCCTTTCTATGAAGTCATGGGCATCGTCACTCTAGAAGACGTCATCGAGGAAATCATCAAGTCTGAGATTGTGGACGAAACGGACCTCTACAGTAGGTGTTTACCATTTCTGTTCTTTAAATCTGGTGCACTTTTGCTTATCTTAGACCTCATTTGTTTTTCTATCTTCTCATCTTTCAATATCAACGATTCAGATGAACACTCAAACACCTGAAAGTTACAAAATCAGTCTAATAGTGAATTATAAGAAGAATATTTCCTCTACACAGCCATTCCAGAGCATTTGTCTGATTCCTGCTGCTTCCTCATGCATAGTCGATAACACTGTGACCCTGTTGCATATAATTATCACACTAATTGGATTCCAGAACTCGGTGTTATTGTCTTCTGGCAAAGCCTGTTCTCTGCAATTATCAATTCATTTTTAACCATGATTAACAGTGCTAACATACTGGGGGAGACTAGGGTTTGTACTTTTTATGAATATTTTGTAAGTTAGCTTGAAAAGTGAATTCATTTCTGTACAGACATTTACCTTAACGATCTTGACTACGAAAAAGTTTTCTGCCAAGGAAATAACTTATAGTTATGAATACCATCTTGACCTTTTGTGACAACATATCCCAGTAGCTCCAAAGTGGGGTAAGTTGTCACAATGGGAACCAGCAAATATAGTGCAATAACAGATTATACAGGAGCAGAAAGAAGGAAATCTTCAGCAGAAACCATATACTTAACACACGTTTTAGTTTAAATATTACTGAAAACAATACTGTTATGTTTAACCTCTTAAGACCCGAGAAAAGATTTTTTTGGAAAAAAATAGTTTTTGTCACGTCTTTACATTGTTTAGAGCATAAAAAAATGTAAAAAAAAAAAGAATAAAAAATGATATTTCATTCATAAGTTATGCTATGTTCTCGGTAGAGGTAATCGGGACTCAATTTAAAAAATAAAAATAAAAAGACATGAATGAACATGCAGAGGCAAAAACAATAGGTTTTTTAAATCACCAATACAATATATATATATATATTTTTTTTTTAACCAAACTTTGTATAAAGATGATTCTCAACTATGTTATAACAGAATGATTTGATATACCATTTTTCTTTCTGCAAAATGTGTGTAAAATGGCCAAAAACAGGTTTTTTCATTATATACAATATATCTATAAACCAAATCTAATTTGCATATTAATGTGTTTTTGGGGCAACATGTAATGAAAAAAGAAGTGTAATAATGGGAGTAATATTTGACAAGATTTTCATAATAATATATAATATTTCATAGAATATTGAAACATAATTTCTTTCCCTATTCATTTGTTATGTCTCCCATAATGCTAATAACCATGCTTTTAGTCCCAGTGTCCTTATATGAGGACATGTATGAAATCAACATCCTGTTTCGTAACAGAAAGTCATATTTTGATTTGAAACCCCATAACATTTTCCTGAGATGTTGATTTATGACAGACAGTTTAAAAATTAGACCGATTTAAATGATAATTACATACATAAATAATAAAAACTAACAATAAATAAATAAACCTTAATCCTATAAGAAAATTGTTATGCCCTCAATGACCTCAATTATTGTTATGACCTCAAAGTGCGTTTTGCCACAAATTTGATTGATCGATCGATCAATCAATCAATCAATCAATCAATCAATCAATCAATCAATCAATCAATCTTCATTTGTCTCCTTTTGTAATAAAAATAAAGATCTATAAAAATTTATGGCTCTAAAAAAGCCTATAAAGTAACATTTATGCACATTTCTGATACAAAAAAAGTGTATTATATTCAATCACTGATTCTTGAGACATGGGACAAAACATGTCCAGCAAATGTAACTGCTATTAGGTTTAAAAATGAAAACATTTTCAATTGTAAATGTTATGAGGGATTAATAATAGAATGTATTTATCATAATTATCCCCTTCAATTTAATTGTATCCTTATTATTATATCACATTTATGACACTTATTGCATCAAGAGTCATTACATCAAAAACAGTGTGTAAATGGATATTAAAAACAGCAATAAAATGGATATTAAAATGTTTGTTTTTTTAATGATAAAAAAGAGCTTGTTTTATCAAAAGCAACACTTAATAATATCTCATATCAAAGCAAGGTTGTTTTCCAAGGACAATTATAATTACGAAATACACAGCATATATTGCTTTTGTGGATTGATAGTCATCACTTCTAGCTAGTTAGGGTTGAGGGAACATAAGGGAACACAAAACACTGGATAAAAGATATCTATACATAATACAGTTCGTTTTGTATTCTGATCATATGTGTTCTGATCATTTTTGGATCATTTGTTAAGAGTTCCAATGATACATAAAAAAAGCTTTATAAACAGTAACATACTGTTTGTTGTGTTTGTTTTAATACAGTAACTGATTGATTCAATGTATTTGATAGGCTAGTTAAAATGACTACAAATTCAGCTTTTCGTCACCTCCGTCAGATGAATCTTTTGATAATATTTATGTTATTTTAGATTTGTTGAGGAATTGTTGGTCACACGTGAAATGTAATCTGTCTGTTATCATGAGAATGTGTTTTGAAATGTTAAAAACATCTTGATTGCTGTTAAAGATAAAATGATATTACACAGTCCAAGGTAAAAAGCAAATTTTTATTAAAAAAAATAAGAGAGAGCGAGAGAGAGAAAAGTTGGGAGGTTGAATCAAATAATAGCTCAGTAGCTTAGTACATGTAAAATACAAAAATGTAGTTTCATTTGTTTGAGTACACGGTTATCTTTTTTCAATATTTCACCCTGTTTTGTCCCACTTCTCAAGAATCAGTGCAATGCAATTATCTTGAGTGACATACTGTATAAATTGCATGGAGATCAATATAACAGTTTCTTCTCAAGCATATTATATGCTCTCATTCACTTGTTGTTGGTTTGAGGTAAAGCCTATCCAGTATAATGTATTGCTGTTGTGTTGTGGCAGCTGATAACCGTACGAAGAGGAGAGTGTCTCACCATGAGAGGAAACAGCAAGATTTCTCCATATTTAAACTGTCAGAGAGTGAAATGAAGGTCAAAGTTTCACCACAGCTTCTGCTCGCAACACATCGCTTTCTAGCAACAGGTAATCTCAATTCACAGTTGTGGGAGAGAGTCAAATATTTGACATTGTTAATGATCAATTCAGACAGTTCTGGTTGTTTTAGGTTTAAAACACATACAGTTCAAGACCAAAAGGATGTGTTCACATTAATTTGACAATCTAGTGAATAGGCTACTCATTTGGTGCAGCATTGCAAATCATCAACAAATGATGAAGGATCAGAATGCTGCTGTTTCATCGTCAATATCATTAATGTGTTTGTTATTCTCTCTGTTCTCTTTATTTCGGTAGAAGTAGAACCCTTTAAGTCGACGCATTTGTCAGAGAAGATCCTCCTGCGGTTGATAAAGCACCCAAGCGTGGTGCAGGAACTCAAGTTTGATGAGAAAAACAAGCGATCACCAAAGCACTACCTCTTCCAGCGCAACAAGCCTGTGGATTATTTCGTCCTCATATTGCAGGTAAAGTACTACAGGTTTTAAAAGCCATTATAAATAAATGTTACAAATTAAAAATATTTTTTAGCAAAAAATAACATTTGTTCAAATTGTCATGCAGATAAAGTCATTTATGACAAAATTATATTACATATATTATAAATTATATTACTTGTAATAAAATGCTAAATAAAAGCTTTTTCACTATTGGCCCCCGCTGAAAGTGGAGAAAAATGCTGTATTCATCAGTTTTCAATGCAGTAATTGCAAACAGAGGAAAATAAATAATTTTATTAAATCACAAAAAATATAAAAAATATATATATGTGTAACAAATATTTGTTATGCTAATCAATTAATTTATAGAAAAAAATATTAAAATGTATGACAAAATCAATAAAATGCTAAATAAAAGTAATAATAATAATAATAATAAAAATAATTTTCACTTTTGTACCCATGCTGTAAGAGGGAAAAATGTCACTTTCCTAAATTTGTATTATTGCAAACTGAGATTTATAACTAGTTTTATTAAATAATATATCATAAAAATAATTTCAAAACTGTTATGTTAATCAATTAATTTAAAGAAGAAAATATGACAATTCATGACAAAATTATAGTACATTAATAAAATGCAAAATGAAAGCTTTTTCACTTTTGTACCCATGCTGTAAGTTTTTTATGATTGCAAACTGAGATTTATAACCAGTTTTATTAAATAACATATTATAAAAATAATTTCAAAATTGTTATGTTAATCAATTAATATATGACAAAATTATACTACATTAATGAAATGCAAAATAAAAGCTGTCACTATTGGACCCCACTGTAGGGGGAGAAAAACGTCTCAGGTTACTTATGTAACCATGGTTCCCTGAGTAGGGAACGAGACACTGCGTCCTCTAGGGGTCGCTATGGGGAACGCCTCGTCGTGACCCGTGTCTGAAGCATACATTGAAAAAACACCAACTCGTTGGCCGGCGACAGCCATGACGTCACTACCGGTGCGACTCCAGTATAAATCGGCGCCGGGAGCTACACATCATTCACTTCTTCGTCTGAAGCTTGCGTCCGCAGCATGGCAAGAAACCTAGAGGACCCAGTGTCTCGTTCCCTACTCAGGGAACCATGGTTACATAAGTA